GAATCAAATTCAGGAAGCTGTTAGTGAGGGAATTAATACACCTGATGACCCACGATAAAAAGACAACAGTAAAACATTATATGCCTCCTGTTACACCTAAGGATACTTGAACCTTTGTTTCTTCAAAGAACTTGAGTGTCATTGCCTCAAGCTGGTTGTCATTATTCTCAAAGCTGAATTACTAATGACAGAAAACACTTTGTGCTTAGTTAATACTATACACAAAAACATTCATTCGTTTTCACAACAGTTTTTTTGGTTCTCATTTTCCCTGGAACTGATTTTTCCAAATGGCTGCTTCTACACAAGCACAAGCACAAATCAATGGAAGGCTGCCTGTGCATGGCTCGTAGACAAATCATACTTGGCTTTCAGGCTGGTAATTTAAAGGTATCGTCAGGTCAGACATTTGTGATTCCTTCCATGAAAGTTATCTATCAGAAACAGGGGTTTATTCAAAGACACGCTTTGCTCTTTGTCTTCTGATCACATTGTCAAAGGGGAACCAATTAATGTGTTGGCTTGAATTCAATTAATCACATAGGAGAAATTCAGTAACTTCACATCAATTTCCAGCTGAAAGCCTGTAAACATCAAATCATCATGTAATAGTCTTACTTATAGCATGAAATTTATTTACATACACCTGGCTGTGATAAATATAAAATAAAATAAGCTCTGACTGTTCAGATCATCACTTTTGAATTCCTAAAGGGGGAAAGCAATTTACTCCCACTCAAGAATCATTCCTCGACCCATCTCTGCACTTGGATCCGATGTTTGATTCCATTTTAATTTAATGATTTAGCTCGAAATGACTGGACGGTCATTTAGACTGCCATGTCTTCCTGTGTATTTCAGGAGGAACTTTCAACGTCAGGTACTTTTATTTGAGGGGTTTTATAGCTTTTAAGGTCTGAATTTGGAAAGATTGGTAGCTTTGTAGGATAGGAACACACAAAATATGATGTTGGGAAAATTTCAAACCTGTACAGTATACATTTAATATTAATGACTGAAACAACAAAAATAATTTTAAATGATGTTTGGATTTTAAAAATCCTTTCGACATACACTTAAAAACTCATCAGTGTGAACTTGTTTATAAGATAATCTTAAGGTAAGGAGCGAGCAGAGCCTGTTTGTGCCAAATGTCAGTAAACACTTCCTTGAAAGTAAACCACGCCACATTACCTGATATATCAAAACCTTTTGCTTGGTCCTTCATACATATACCCATGCAGACATAAGTAATGCATGCAAACATGCATGCACACACACACACACACGCACATGCAAATGGCAAATAATGACAATATGCCATATATTCAATGAATATATTCAACTGCACAGTTTCTATACATAAATAAGAAGTTGCCTTATTAATACTATTATTAATAAACTAATGTCATTTAAATAGCTTACACAATAATTCATTCCCCCTTGTCTATCCAAACCCCCCCTTACTTGAGATGCAGACTTTCTGACTAGTGCATTCCTTTTCTTGAGTGATCATATTTTCCTTAATCATGTTAATGCAGTTGTCACAGTCAACTACACACTAACTTATTAAGTAGAGAGTCATTTCATCTTCACCTCATTTTTCTCAAGTCTGACACATTTTACTCAAGCATTTAAGCTAATCCACATCCTATCTCTCAAAAGATTAATACCTAAAATCACTTTTTTATGTTGGGATGACTTTTTAATATCCAGTACTGATCAAGTATGTACCGATCTATATTTTGTTTTCAAAAAATTTGTTTACATAAAACACTGCAGACTTAAATGACCACTATTTTCAAATGAAGTGATACCATTTCCAATAAAAAATTTACTGACCAAGAAGCTTCGCCAGAGTTCAAACGAGATCATCTATTTAAAATTCACATCACTGACTTCCATCAATATCTGTTCAGAACTTTTCTTTCAAGAAACAGTCAGAAAACGGGTTCAGTCAGAAAATGGGGCAAAAGGTAAGGTGGACTCCAAGTTGACTTGTTACGGTTGAGTAAGATCCTTTGGTAATCTTAAGTCATCTGTGGAAGGCCAAACGTGACAGAATTATAAATAAGGGATGAACAGCTGTCTGGCCTTGGTTGTGGTTAATAATGGTGGTCAATCAAGGTAGTTGGCAGTCACGCCAATTCTCTTTCCTTTTTTCCGATCAGAGATCATCAGTTATTTATAATATAGTCCAGTTTTAATAGTCACTAATCAAAATTACTGATCAAACCCAGGCAGCATGTATGATAATGTAACTGAGGTATTCTTAAATCCTATGTGATATAGCAAACTTTAACACCGAACTCTAAAGATGTAATGTTTGCATTTTAATCTTTTATTATTTTTTCCTAAGTATAATTATTTTTTCCAAATTCCATCGAATTCTGTTACAATTGACTGCAGATTTTCTCAAAAACATCAAAAAAAGTTAAAAAATACTGACAGCTTATGTGTTTTATTCATTTTTATTAGTTTTTAATGAGCTGTAATCTAACAAGGAAATATTTTTGTTGGGCATGCAGTAATACTAGCCTTCAACATTGGTGTTATACCTGATCTCAAAATACCATCTCTCCTCGGTCACAATTTCCTCATATGATACTGATACTCCTCTTCCACTTAGCCGTTAATGCTCACAAGTCTTAACACCATTGGTTAAACACAATACAAACTCACAATTGTTGCGCTGGTAAATTAAAATGGCTGGGGTGGAAAAGGGGGCAGCATCAGCAAGATGCAGCATTAATCAGATGAAAAAAAATGTATTGGGGTGTGTGTGTGTGCACAGAGAAACGTGACAAGATCAAGTGACATTGGTGTTAAAAATATTCCTCTTCTGACCTCTAATCTCAGTAATCTGAAAATATGTGACCATTAAAAAAATCATCGAAAAAGAAAGAAAAAGAGAAAAGCGGTCTTTAAATTTTTGATCACTACTTTGTTATAAATAGATAAAATAACATGGCAGTCAATCTTATTAGGATGAAACTTAATTTCAATTTTAAGGTACTTAAAACATACAAGTACAAACTCATAATGGAGGTTTATTTCATGTGCCAAGTTGTTAAGGTCAACTTCATAGTATTAAATTTTTCAACCATAATACACAGCCAACATAAGAGCACTATTTCTGATTCAATTTTTACAGACATAAAATCCAGTTTACAGCATATACATTTAACTAACACTCCAAAGTAAGGGTAAAAAAGCAACAAATACATACATGCAAATATTCTATATAATAAATTCTAAAAAATGACCATTTATTCTAAGATTATTCTATTTCTAATGTAAGATTAACTTGAAAGTGTAAAGAGAATCATCTTTTGAAAACTCCATTAAATCAAGTGCTGGGTAATTTTCTCAAACAAGAGTTAGGCAGATAATTTCAACTTGATTTCTCCTATGTTTGCACTGACCTGTCCTTCACTGCATTTGTATGTGCAGACTAATCAATTGATTTTCTTTTTGGACCATCATCAGAATAAAAGATTCAGTGAAGAAAGTGATAGATTCTGTAAATGTCAACGTGCATGACTGCACTAGGTAGGCTCACTAACAAAGAACATAAAGGTTAGTCTATGAAGACGAGTTATTTCTTTTTATGTGTCACTTATCAGCAAAATTATCATTTACTTGACATTGCATAGATTGCAGTTTACAGCCAGATTAGGCCAGATTTCTCTGACATAAAATGGACAGAGGTACACTGCTCACCATTGTAAAATCTACATATTTCAGGTTTACCGCACAATGTAGCATGCAAGAACTCCATTTAGTTGAAAACTAATGTCTGTTACTATTAATATTATCTTGCTTTGACCTGAGCAAATGATGAAGCCTATTTGTACATCACTGTTCTAAAGACTTAATCTGCTGCTCGTATGAGGAAGAACATGCATAGATGATCACTGGAGTAGAAAAGATTCTCGATGCTAACTTTGTATCAGTCATGGCCAAAGGGGCACTTCAGGATATTTTCGTTGTCTTTCCTGAAGTGCCCCTTTGAAATTGACTTTCACAAGGAGTATGCAAAGAACGAAATCATGTTTACTAAGTTAACAAGATAGGAAAAATACCTAATTATTGCTTTAAAAAGACAATGCAAGAATATACATGTGTACTGAACTATTGACTGAATGTTGATGTAGCCTTTTCACTTTTAATTTTTTGTCTCTTATTCTAAAAGCAACATATATGAAGATAACACTTAAAATTCTATTAAATTTTTCTTTAAAGTGAGAATTTCCTTAATTTTGCATGATCTAACAATTAACTCTTCTTATCTTTAACAATTATGTATCTTTATCCAAGTTGACCACATCCCCCTTCCCTTATGTTCGTTGTAGTCCTAAAAATCAGTTTCTAAAACTTCTACTCATATCATATATATTCCTTTTTGTTCAAACAAAACAGCAAATATGCAAGGAGAATACAGGACAAGCACAAGTGTTAGAGTACAATCACTTGGACTATATGTATGTTATTTCTGGCTTATATTCTGACTCAATTTTTTGCTCCTGTACTATTGGCACTATGCTATAGTTTTATGATTAATCTCTGTGATCCACGAGAACAATGTCTTCAACTCTGCTATACAAAAACTGCCTTTCCTTTGTGAACTTTAGCTATATCCTTCAGAAAACAGCTTTTCATTCTCCCATCCCCAAAACACTCTTCCCACGAACTGCATTTTCTGACTAACCCTTAAACGCGTGGCTCATTTAATTTAAACAAGGAACGTGCCTTACCAAATCTTCACTTCAGCTTCTAAAATATTTTATATATCCCCTCTCAACTTTGCCGGTAAGGCACGAGGGGGCAAACAATGACATTAAAAATATGTAGAAAGCGAATTATCTCACGAAATCCCTTTCAATGGAAACACTCAGTGAGATAGTGAAAGTACTCGCACGTTCTTTCTCGTCGAGTTCACCAGCTCAGCTGGCAACGAACCGGTGCATTATTTACAGAGTGATACGTACGGTACTTACGATGGTTGTACTTCACAGAGGTAGTTCTTGAGCCTCTGCCTATCTATCTGTTACAACCGTTGACAGTTGTTGAATATATATGATAGGAGAGGTTTAATGTGCCTTAAAATGACACGGGGCTCGGTTAGGTCGTTGTCGCGGAGTCTAGCATGCCAGCCGCAAAATTCCTTCAGATATGCTTGACATCAAAGATTTAGTTTCGAGTAATAGTGGTAAATTTTTATTTTGATGACATACAAAATAATACATTTTAAAAATTATTTAGATTACAATTTAAGATTAATGTTCAAGTTATGACAAAAAGGTACATATTTTATTTATTTTTTACTTCGAAACTAAAGTGTTTTAAAATATCAACTTTATCTGACAGCCATATTGTAGAAATTGCACCACATTTTCCGACTTTTTGCTACTGTCCCCCTTCAACCAGCCATGCCACCGAAGGCGAAAAAAGCAGATGGCCCTGGAAAAAAGGCTGAACAAAAGAAGAAGGACAAGATCGTTGAGGTAATCATTATTTTCTCATCGGTTAGGGTTTTTTTAAGGCGGAAATTTGGCCCCGTGACCCAGTCCATCAACATTCAACTTGCCACGGGCCGATGGCCAAGTTAGAATGAATCTGTTGCAAAACATATGCAGGCTTTTAGGAAATATATTTCCAGTTCTTGCATTTAATTCCAGTTAAGGGTGGCTGCACTCTGACAGTTTTTTTTTAGTAACTGTAAATCTATGCTAGGGTCTCTGTCTTTGGCATATTTTGTTTGTCGTTCTCTTTTCTTTATCTTGAATCAAGTCACTAATAACCTAAGTAAAGTGAAATCTCATAAACAGTAAAGAAAGAAAACATTAGTCCTTATCCTCTGCCACAACCCAGAAGAAACCAGGTGACAGTTTACTTGCCATTCAATTTTTCAGAGTAAAAAAAACACTTTGATAATCTGTGTTTGGCAGTGATTATTATGTATTTTTAACATCTACATGGCCCATAATGAGGTTGTGTTTATGTCCAATAATAAATTAATTATCCGAGATTTTCACTGTCTTGATGTGAAGCAGACCAAAAATCATGTGATACATCATCTGGAACTACAGCTTACCCATTTCCCAAGCTCCTTCAGCAACAAGCATTGGTTCAAGGTAAAATTTGCTCTTTTGTTTAGACAAACCTTCTAGCATAAAAATTTCATCAAATTTTATTTCTTACACTATTTATGATCTTTTTCTATACATCAAAACTTTTAGTGTAGCCAAGGCTGCCTTTTTGTTCCACCTCATTCTTTGGAGTATTGTAACAAAGTTTATTAAATAGCATTGACATATATATTTATTTATTTCTGATTAAAGCCTATAAGAACCACATGCAGCCACTTTGATTTAATTGAATTTATTTTGCAGACAAAGAGAGTGTTCAAAAAAGAAAGAAACTAAAAGATTCCGCTAGAACCACCATTGTGAAAAAATTAACTGCAGGGAAAGGAAGCAAATAATCCAGCGCCTAGAACCAAGGTTTTAATTGTTTATAAATACAGACAAACCTTGCACTAATTTAGCTATTAAAATTTTCCCATGAATCAGAAAATATACACTAATGCTGTCGTTGTTTACATGTAACCAAACAATTTCTTTTCTTTTACATCAACAAGTATGTATAATCAGTGAATAATGGAATGTCATCGGAAAGAATGACCTAAGTGAAAAGCCCCATCTGATTTTAACTGCTACAAGATTAACATCCAGCACTGTCCACTGTCACAATAGAAGGTACAAGAAAACTTGTACTCATTAGTTGGGCAGAGTGTAGTGTTTGTCGGCATTTTGTCCATCTACCTCACTGCACCTAAGAACATGATGCAGGGAAAAGCATTCTTTTCATGTGCCCCTTCTGTTTTGAGTACCAGAGTTAACCCTGAGATAAATGTTTTGGAGATTTCCCTTATATAACATGTTATAATATATTTCATTTTTTAGTCTTTGATGATATTTCAATAGAAATGCTATATTTTGCAGAATGTGCAACAAACTAACGAAGATTACTTGATGCATGCAATCCTTTTTAATATATATGTGATTAATTTGTAATTTGTTTCTTGTAAAAGTAGAATAGTTCAAAACATCTTTAGCATTTTTTATAAATATGTAAGATGTACCCAATCAGCTCTGAAGTGTGAATAAATTGTAATCATAAAATCTTGAAGATGATAAAATAAAATTCATAATTCCAAAAGTGTTGATTTCATCAGCACCTTCAGTGTACTATTTGTCATTTTATGCAGTCACAGAAACCATCAAATAAAGTGGGAGCATATCATGCATTATGTAAATGGCACTGAAAATTGTTAACGCTATATGACATTCACGTAAGAGTTTAGAGACTGAGAATTGGCTTGTGGTTCATTTCACAAGAAAATGACCCCGAGTCCCATCACTGAAGCTCACATTTTTTTAATATTGTCATAATTCTGACTTGCCCCATTTTACTTGCTGTTTCATATTATATCAACATATCACATCATGAAAAAGTGCAAATATTAAAAAAAAAATCCATGACCTAAGTCACTTTGAGGTGGAATGACCCCTATGCAAGTGCTGTTTTGCAACAGATGCTGTTGGTTCTGATAAATAATTAACTGTCATGGTATCTCAGTTTCTCTGATTTTCAGAAATGCATTACAATTTCTAATTTTAATAATTGATGACAATGAAACTGTAACAGTTCTGTTCTGTTGTTTAAGTTGACGTTCATTTAGATGAAATAATTTATGCATACTACATGCCTGACTATTCGTTTAACTTTGAATATTTCTTACAGGATAAAACCTTTGGTCTGAAGAACAAGAAGGGCAGTAAGCAACAGAAGTTTATCAAACATGTAACACAACAGGTGCAGTATGGAAACCAGAGTTCCAGGAAGGTAAGATATGTATTCTTTTTTCCAAGGCTAGTATACTTTGACAAATAAGAACTGAGATAATTGCCTTAAGAGGTTTGAAATTGAGTTATCATGCTGTGTGTGTGTGTGTGTGTGTCTCAAATTTGATTTTTTTGCCTCATTGGAGGCTTTTTCTCAACAGTTGTAGATATTTACACAGTAATGCACGCACTGTCACATTTTACTTGTCAGAAGTGCATTCTGAACTGCATCTGCTTATTTGCAGAAGTTGAACATAATCAACAAAAGCATCTAGTTGAAATTTTACTAGAAGTCTAGAAATAATGGTTTTCAAGCAAGACCCTTAAAACACTTCTCAGATGTATTTTGTTTGATGGAAATGGTCAATATAATATATACACTAGTAATATTACAAGTCCATCCATTGTCAGTTGTTTTGTTCATTAGATGCATCTGTGACTACCAAATACATTTTTTATAATTTTTTAAATAGTTGGAGGCTTTGCAGAATGACAAGCTCAAGAAAAAGGAAGACAAGAAAAAGGAGCTGGATGAATTAAACCAGCTGTTCAGACCAGCTGTAATTCAACAGAAAGTGTCTAAAGGTAGGTCTTTCATCACAAACTAATATTCTTATTATACTAACATACATTTCAGTGTCAGTCTGACATTGTCTGACTGATGTCACAAGGTGTGAACTGTTGTTGCTACCCTCTGCCCCCCCCCCCCCCACCACCACCACCACCCCCACTCCACCCACCCCACCCCCCTAGTGTCTGTGGCACTTGGTTAACAGAAAGGTTTCTCTGTTGTTGTTATTTTGTCTTCCTAATCCATGTGTCCACTTTAACTCCTCTTGTTTTCCAGTCACTGGGGTTCTTGCACTCTCCCATTAGGTGGTTTTGTTGTATACCATGTGTTTGTATCATAATACACTGATGCTGGTCTTAAATATCAAATTTACAAAAATCCAAACACTTCTGAAATATCTAGTAGTGATACTATACCGATGTTGCCGTTTGTCTCCCCAGGTGCTGATCCAAAGTCGGTGGTCTGTGCTTTTTACAAGCAGGGACAGTGTGGCAAAGGAGACAAGTGCAAGTTCTCCCATGATCTCAGCAAAGAGAGAAAAGGAGAGAAGAGGAGCATGTACGATGGTCAGGATGAAAGTAAGGATTTATACCTATATATGTTTTACATTCTTTGATTCTATTACTGGATTTCTAAGTCAATGTCTGTAGTCGCAACAAAAATGTTTGATTCCTCAGCTTGGCTAATATTTCACCTAAGGGTTGAGATTTACCAATCCCCAATGTAGTACCTGAAATGTTTTGATATCACTCTAAATGAGCTATAAATGATAAAAGTTGTTTAATGTAATGAAAGTCTTGCACATATGCAATATAGTTTTTGTTTTCCCTCAGAGGCTGACATGGAAACTTGGGATGAGGCAAAATTAGAGGAAGTCATTGAAAAGAAACATGGAGAGAAAAACAAAGGCTTACCTCCAACATCGATTGTAAGTGTTTGAGTGACAGTGCACACTTTTTTATGTGATATTTATAACGATAACAAGGCGAAAAAGGAAAGGAATGAAAAGGCATGCCTCCTATTGTTTTTGTTGTTGTGAGAAACCAAGACTGTAACAAGCATCAATTTCATTCACAAAAATTGAAGACCAGAAGACAAACATGCTGTACCAAAAACTTTTTTTTATGTAACCGTTTTCTCAATTGCCTTTGTATTTTCAGATTTGCAAATATTTCCTTGAAGCTGTTGAGAACAGCAAGTATGGCTGGTTTTGGGAGTGTCCCAATGGAGTGACCTGTCACTACAAGCATGCGCTACCACCAGGTACAGTATTAGATCAGTTTTCTTTTGGGCCACTTCTATGTGAAATCATCTAAAATCACAAGTTTTCCAAATTTTACGTGTGGCACTCGAGGAAACTTGGGTTAAATACATGAAGCTTTGAGGCACTTAGTTTTTTTACAGCCAAAAATACTGCTGCTTGAAAAATAATTTCGTTGTGCTTCTGCCTCCCAAAAAAGGGTGGGGGTAACTGAAATTGAATTTGAAAAATGATTTTTCACACTAAATCATCATCAATTTTAAAGCTTTAAACACAGGTTATCTTTTTTGGGCCTCCTTTCTTAAGTACTATAATTATAACTAAGAATGATACATACCAACCAGAGAATGGTTTTCCATGGCTAGGTTTTGTGTTGAAGAAGGATAGGAAGAAAGAAGAAAAGGAAGATCAAATCACAATAGAGGAACTTGTAGAGAAGGAGAGAGCAGCCCTGGGGGATAATGTCACAAAGGTCACATTAGAGACATTCTTAGCTTGGAAGGAAAGGAAGGTGAGTTCTGCTTCAAGGCATGATATTTGAAGTGATAAAAATTGTGTGGACCAATGACCAGATGGCATTTTCACTGCAAGGCAGATTTGATAGTTTCTTCATGGTTTTGGAACTTTTAATTGCCTGTTTACAGACTTATTTGTGCCAGCCTCTGGTCAAAAAATTTATGTTTGAACATGACTGAATTGTATTTAATCTGCTTTCTTCAGAAAAAGGAAAAAGTAGAAAAGTTTATGTCTGCCAAAGAGAAGAGAAAGGCAGAGTTTAAGGCAGGCAAGGCATTTGGGGTAAGTTTATGATTCACAGTAGTAAAAGATATATACATAATTATGTTAGGAAATATTATTAAGGCTACTTTAAAAGAACTTAGAATGGGGTAAAATATATTGCATTCCCATCACTGGTTTTCTAACAGTTTCAAATATACTGTATGCTATGCAGAAATTCGTTCAGTATCATGGAAGCCATGGTACTCATGAATTTCAAGTTCTGATATAGACTTGTACCAAAATAATAAATATAATAATGGCTAATGCTGGCATTTAAAATTTCTTTTAAATTAAATATATTTTATTTGGCATTTTTCTCAGCCCTAGTCCTTAAATGTATGTTAACTAAGCCCAGATTATACAAGAAATGTAATGCTAATCCTAAAATATTATTCTTCTATATCTGTGGAACTTCAGGTCAGTGGCAGGGAGCTGTTTGAGTTCAACCCTGACATGATTGTGGATGATGATGAAGCTACAGATGATGTGTATGAGAGGAATGATGAGGAGGTGGGTAAATGGACAAAATACTCTGTACACCAGGACTTGCAAATATTTAATGGTTTTAACATTGATATTACATTTATTTGTATTGTATACTTTGTGTGTTATACTTTGATAATCTCCAACTTCTGATTTAATTTTTTTCAAGCATAGCTATCTTTGGGTCTAACAATAGCAAGATGTATTGTATATATGAAATGTATAAAAAGTGTCAAAAAGCTTTTAACCCCTAGCTGCGATTCGTTATTTTGAAAAAAGTATATATGTCTGTTATGTTTGGTGTACTCTTACCATGAATCTTTTCTTGATAATGTGTGGTGTTTGTAATTCACAAGCCCCATATTTTCCAGGAGGTTGGAGAAGAGGAGGAGGCCTATGATGGTCCTGTGAAGGAGATTGACATGGAGGAGATATCCAGGGTGGGGTATGACACCAGTAGTAAAGGAACAGAAGCCACGTCCAGAGATAGGACAGGGGCACCTGTCACATCACAAGGTAAGCTGGAGTGTTAGTGATTGTCCGTTTGATTGAACAACTCTCATAGGATTACAACACCATTATTGTACAACCTTGCTTGAATGATTTATGAGTTACTGTTTGAAAAGTTACATTTTGAAGGTTTGTGGTATTAAAAATTGGTGTCAGTGTGTATTAGTATTGTGTTGACAGAGTTAGTAGAGATCTTTTTGACAGAAATGTTTTCTTCTTATAATGAAGTTTCTGCCAGTGTTATGCAAGTGGAAGTTAAAAGTTTTATTTGTGTAAAACAAATATATGCCTCCTGGGTTTTTAGAGGAAAGTCTTGACTGAATTTTGATATTTGAAAAATAAAGGCATGTTCAAATGGCATAGTATTTGATTGACTTTTGCCTTTGATTATAGGTATACTTGTTGAAAATTGTGTTTCACTGTCTTTCAGATGATGAGGCCACAAAATTAGCTCAAGCTGCTGCTTTACCCGAAACTAATAGTATGGAAAAGACTGATCATGCAATAGCTGCAGCACTATCTGCAACAGTCAATGGAGACGTTTTAGCAGGGGATGTGCCAATAGATGAAAACTTATTCGAAGAGGAAGACTTGGATCTACTAGAAGAAGATTTAGAAACTTTGGATCTGGATCAGTGACAAAAGCAAGTCAGAAGACTTTCCACACATACCATGACGAGTGTAATATTGATGTAGCACTTGACAGATGAAGAGGAATGGAAACCTTAATTATGAGGTTTCCCTTAACTTCCTTTAAGATAAATAATGTTAATAAAAAACTGTGGAAACAGAAAGCTTATTTTGCTAGTACTTCCATGCAAAAATTGTTGACTTTTTTCCTGGCATCAAGATACGTTTATACTAGTGTGCTAGTCGGCAGCGGCCAAATGCAAACAGAGTAATGGCAATTAGTTCAGCATTTGGTGGAGTTGTGAAGACTGAAATCCTATCATTGCTATTGTTGAAATAAACCTTGATTGAAGATCAATTTACCAATAAAGTTCCAACTGTTTTGGCAGAGAGCTTTACTTCTTTTTTGGACAATTTCATGAATTTCAATTTTTTTTTCTGTAAATAAGTGATCTGCAAATATAAAACAAGGCAATTTTTTAAGTTCTTGGCATCTTTATTTCTAGCACCAGTAAATAAAATTCTTAATATCTAAACTTATCACTTGAATATCAAAAATATTATGTTGCAAACTACATCCACAAGAACCATTTATAAAACACTAATTTGAAAAAAAAAAAAGCAGCAGGACCTTTAACTCTCAGGTGTTAAGATGATGATTATTGCTTATTCAAATCTCTTCTATATGGCACCCTTCCAATATATATAGAGTTCATGTGTCTATGTTTTCACTTATATAAAATTCATTAACAGAAGAGACTTAAGCAGAATGTTGTAATTCATCCAATAGATTAGAGTCATGCTGCATAAGAAAAGATAAATCTAATACTGGACTTCAAAAACAAATACAAATCCAACACTGTGATTGGTAGCACCAATCTTAAACACAGAAATAAGTGTCAGTGACCTGATAGGTTCCTCGTGACTGATCAGAGGACTAGGTATCTGCTCGAGGTCCTAGACCCAGATGTCGAATAGATTACATCCTGTTCTACAGTTCAGTGATGCCCTACTTAACACCACATCTATGTCACTGCTCTTTTCTATCCAGGATGGTGAAGAAATTTACTGAGTCCCACAGCAGATGTCTAGCCATCTGACCCGTCACCTGACCAGCCTATCTGGTTGGTGAAAATCATCGCCCTGTTGAAGACCAGTGGTACTAATTGCAACACTTGGACCCTTGCTTTATTGCTTTTCAAGTCCGGTATTAGATTTATGTTTAACAGGAAGACTTTCAAGCAGTTCGATGTAAGTGTTCAAATAAGCACCATGACTAAGTTTTCATATATCCCATTTAAAATGGCAAAGATATTTTGAAAAATTGGTTCAATCTGCTATTTGTTCAATGCACTTGGTAAAACATGAACACAAATTACCCCATTCCATTTTACCCATCCAAGCTCATGTTGAATTTTAATTCAAAGATTTTAATTTTACCAAAATGTTTAAAAATGCCTGCTCTGAACTAGTACACTTATTTGTCCATAAACTATAAACCTAATATTAAAATTTTACATGAACAGATTTTTATCAAGGATGTTTTCATTCATGCATAGTCAAAATAAACTCTTTCAATAGCTAATAAATATTTGAATTAACTGAGTTAATTAGTAAACAAAGAGCCATTTTACACAAAATTGCATGTCATTTCATAACATCATTTCCTAAAACCAACATTCAGGAAAAGACCTACACCATTCACACACAAAAAGAAACTTATAAATAGTAAAACTGATAACTTCTTTTTCATAAAATTGCAACTCTCTATGAACATTTAAAATGCAGAATGTAATGAGTTCCCACTTTCTCCTCCTGTAAAAGATGCCGTCACAGTTCATCATGACCTTGAGAATTTTCTTGGTTGTGAGTCTGAAATATAAGATAAGTTCTTCAAAGTACATAGACAAAACTAAGGAATTAATATGCTATAGTAATCGTAATCAATTATTATATAACTTGTTCAAATCTTCATATCTACAACAAGATTTTGAAGAAAAGTTACAAATATTTGTGTAATAATAAAACATTACAATGTGATTTTTAGTACAGATATGTAACTGTCCTGATAATGATGTCATACAATTCTGTATTAAGGGTGCATTCAGACACAGTCGAATTTGGATCAACTTGGGTCCAGAATAAACCAATCAAAGAAGTTATCAACCAGTAATTCAAATTGTCCTCACTGTAGCTCTCCAACTTAAAAATCTGTCTGCATGTGACAACCAATATAATTGGTTGATTAATTTAACTGTCCAAGACCTAAAACTTCATTTGATAAAATATGTCTAAACAGGCACTAAGATATATCTCGAAGGCAGAATAATAATATCCTTACTATCTTTGGTACTCTTTGCTTCAAATGACTGATGATATGGTTGGCATCTTGAAAGAGTTCCTCACCAAACATGTCCTGAAAAAAGAATCAATTTTTTACTTCGTAACAGTTGCTTATCTTGGACACTTATATAAGAGATATAAAAACAGGGTTCATTACAATTTGTCAAGAAGATTTTGCTTCAATGACCGAGAAATAAATTATGAAAAAAGGGGAAGACCTCTGACGGTAAGCACAAATAAAAAGAGAGAAGTTTACAACAGGAATTTTAGGCCTCTGACCCATCCTATTCATATTATGGCAAAGACATCAATTAACTCTAATAGTTAAAACACCAAATCATCCACGAGTACACCATAACAAAACTTATAAATCAACTTACTTGCATGAATCCTGGAGTATGTGCCCCAGCATAAAACCTGACAGTAGGATATGCTCCTATACCAGCCTGCTGGCACAACCACTGCTGTTCATCACAGTTGACTTTCCCTGCCCTCACACGACCTTCCAGAGCCTGAAATTTTGAATCAGAAACAAATAAATATGCAGCCGCTACTAGTCATTGCAACTTTTTTTGCCCTGACACAGCCTTCCTTCTACAGCTTTTCATGATACATTGTCCTTAGCGGTAGATTGTGCACTCTCCAAATGCAAGAGCATATCAGCAACATTTTCATAGACCAGTCATCCATTTCATACAACTTAAATGACATGTTTTTGGTAAAATAACTTGTTGAGGGGTAAAAAAAAAAAACAGCCTTCACGTTAGCAACACAGTCCAGGTCATTTTTAATCAACTTTCTATCACTCAACAAAAACCAGTTGTTGTGCCAAAGTCTACAACTTAATGTTTTTTCATATCATATAAATACAAATATCTAAAAGAAGTTAAACCCCAATACTCCTGTTGATTTTTTTTTTTATAAAAGGCCAGTTGGTGATACTCATTACCATCAGGACTACCACCAAATAACAACATACTCAAATTTTAATTTTCAACTTTGCTCTCACCTCTGCAACCCTCTCAAACTCGGGTGCAAACACCTGACAGTGGCCACACCATGGAGCATAGAAATCCACAATCCAGGGCTGAGACCCGCCCAGAATTTCCTGGAATACATCCCAGCGGAGGATGGCCACTTTACTGGGGAGGAACTCGAATGCCCATGCTCTTAGACTTTCTGCATCTCTGAACCAGCCATTGTATATACTGAAAAGAACAGGATTGGTTTTCATCAATGCAAAGTTAATTACAGATTTACAAAGGAAAGAATTCAATGACTTTTTTTCATAGATACTAAGATTGAACCAGAAAAAGTTGACACAAATCTGCATAAATATTTTTTAAAAATTGTAAAAAAAAAAAAAAAAACAGATCAGAAGTCATGAAAAGTCCTATAATATTCAAATATGCTTACTACTACCACTGCAGTCTTTTTCATACTTCAGCAGTATTGCAACTAGTCACTACCACAATTCAATAAAAAGAAGAAGAAAAAGAACAAACTACTCACTGGAAAGATGCAGCATTCCTAGTACCCATAGGATAAAGTCTTATGGTGGGGTATGAGTAGACATTCTGCTGTTGGCATACCGTCTTATGCTGCTGGCAGTCTACATGGGCCACTTTTACTTTAGCATTTTTCTTCAACATCTGTGAAAGAGGGGGAATTATTTGAATTCTGTTTTATCATTAACAATCTTGATCGTTCTTTGTGTTTTATAAGGTCATTTATTGTGTTATACCATAAGAAAATAGAGGCTAAAATGCAATAATGCACCTCATTATAAGAGCTGCACATCTACTGTGTAACAAAAAAAGTCAAAACAGTCGAAACACCCTTTTCTTACTATTTTTTTTTTAGCTTCTTTTCCAAACAGACAGAAGGCAATGCGACTAATTAATTTACACTTTCGTACATATAAATCAAAACAATTGCAGCATTTTACACAACTTTAATTACACTGTGGGTAATTAAATGACAATCTACAATCAGTAAGCCCACCTTGGCTAGGCGTCTCCACTCTGGTGCCAGCTGCTGACAGGGACCACACCAGGGGGCGAAGAAATCGACCAACCAAATTTCATCTGGGGACTTGTTGCTGACATGCTCTTCAAAACTGGCAGGTGTAAGATGAATTACTGGTGGCTGGATGGTGTCCTGGGCACAAATGAAAATGTTTGCATGTAAAATAATAGAAAGAGACTTGGGGGGGGGGTGCCTGTTGAGGAGGGAGAAGACCTACAGTATGTGTGCAAAATAAGCTCTGCATATAGGCATCATTACTATCACATCCTATCACACAGATGGGTATATTACAAAAACACATCACATATATATACAAATACCACACACATGCCCACACACAGTTCTTTACCTATTAAGATTAGGTGACATTTCCAACCTACCTGTAAGAACTCTTTAATGGAATGAGCGTTGTGATGTCCATGGAACTGGAATGGTGTGCTTTGGTTGTAGAAAATTGTGGTTGGATAGGACCTGATATTGTACTGAAAAAAAGATAAATATTTGAGTAATTAAATCAATTCCATTCACTGGAACATAAAATGAGATTTATTTTACCTAAGTGCGTTTGTCACATTTCATACAAAGCAACAACAGGTATCAGTTCACATTAGGTGACTTGTGTCACAAGCAGAAGAATATTTGTCTCCATACTGTTGCAATTTCCAGACTTCAAATATACGGCTGAACTAGTCTAGTAGTATGTAGTGAAAATATTTTCCAAGTTTATGTTTCTTAAATTCTAGTATTTTTTTCATAAAATAAACTTAAAATGTCGAAATAAAGAAAACAAACAAATGTTACCGTATGGCACAGCTGGCTGTGTATAGTGCAGTCCACTGTACCGAAGTTTATACTCCTCATTGTCTTGGAAGCTTTCCTGAACTCTGGCAGAAGTTTCATACATGGTGGACACCACTAGTGAAAACAAAAATGGTATCATGCTTTAACTACTATGCTTGGTGTTTATGTGACCCATCTTATGGGAATTCAGATCCAAATTCCTGAATCAGACCAATATTTTATTCTTATAATAGACACTTCATACCAATGTCAGATATGCTAAACTTATGCAATAAATTATTTTTTTAATAAATAGAATTATACCCCCACCTTCCCCCCCTCCCCCACCCAAAAAAGAAAAACAATGTTTTTTACTACACGATATGTACAATTTTTTTTTCTAAAGACAATTTTATATAAATTGGTCAATTAATTTCCACACTAATTGAAAAACAGGAATAAAAATTGCATGAGGAAAATGACTGTGCTTACTGGAGCAAAGAAGTCTACAATCCAGGGTTCTCTACTACTTATCACAGGACTAGGGAAGTCTGTTGGACCCAGCATTCTCACTGGGGTGGAAGCACTGTCTTTGGCAAATGCTGCCACATCATGGGCAGAGAGACGACCTGTAACGATGAGATCATTAGTCTTAATGTTATTACCATAGGTAAGAATGTTGAGACCAAAAACTCTATAAAATGAAATTTGAGCACAATTCACATGGGTATTCATCCGTTACAATTCTGCACCTCAATCCATTACCACCAATTGCTTATTTAAGCCTCTGTGCATTATCACTTACTTTAATGTATTTAAATAATCAATGGGGTTTCACCTTTTAAGGCCATTAATTAATGAAAATCCTGCTTTATCTCAACATAAAAAAATATCCCACAGGCTATTAAAAAAGATAAAACAATATAGACACGAAAACCAATTTATTTTCATACAGAAAGCTTATTTCGACTTCTTGAATATAAAGCATCATCCCATGACCCCATTTGTTATATCTCTTTCTGACTGATTACCTTTCTGACCTATTACCTTTCTCCTCTCCTTTAAAAAGAAAAAAAATTTTAACTGAACTAAAATGAAATAAAAATACTCACCATGATGGAACTCATATCCACCTCCTCTCTTAAAAACAGCAAAGGTAGGTTTGTGGATATGAAACTCATTGCATTTGGACCTCTGTTTTCTACAGTCAACACGGCCAACCTGAGTAACAAACCATATACTATTGTACTATAAGATATTCTACAGCATACTATAAGACATTCTACAGCATAAGTAAATGTGTGTGTGTGTGTGTGTGTGTGGTCATGGGTGCGTGTGCCCAAATACACCTCTTGCAAAATATTTGCTAAACATCTATGATAAGAAATTAATCCATACATAAAAACACAACCAAGGATTTAAACTCACATTCATTTCACCTAAAAGAGCAGGCAGTTTTCTCAGCTCCAGGTCATGCGTATCTCCCTCCACAAAATGAATGAGCCAGGCAGTGTCTGAGTTCTTTTTTAAATTTTCAACTATATCCTGAAATAGTATCTAATTTTAAATAAATTCAAAATACGAATTAAAAGTTACATTTTAAATTCCTTAATGTTGATGTCATTATTGGAAGTCTAACATCTAAAAGAGACAAAAAAAAAAACCCCAAAAATTTTCATTTTTGATTTAAATGACAATCTTGGTGAGTTACCTCAAATTTTTCTTTGTCCACTATTGTGACATCTGGTAACTGTTCCAGTATTCTAAATGCTGTTTCTTTGTACTCCAAACTGGTGATCTCCTGCAATATATTTTTTAAATATATGTAGACATGAAATAGTCAGACAACATTTAATAATCTTTAAACCTATCTTTCCATCTATCTTTTAATATTTGGTAAATTAAATTACCAAAACAAGGAACTGATAGCACAAACGACTATATTTTACATATTCACAGAATGGGAAAGACATGGTTTTACATGTGCATTTATATAAGTAGACAAAAACATTGAACTGGGCATTTTATTGAAAATTACACTCGCCAGGCATTTAAAATCTTTTTGGATAGCTGCATAAGCCTACAATACCATGATGTGTATTTTAAAAACACTGTCATACAAATACTCTCTGCTCAAGATAAACTTACCAGTCCTTTATCTTTCTCGACCTCCCCTGGCTGGTAGAAATATGTACCATACTCCACACCAAGCTTATTGCAGAGTTTTGTTTGTGAAAAGCAATCAATAGATCCTACATTCACAAGCCCTGACTGAAAAAAATGTATTGAGAGAGTATGCTTATCTGTCATTCAAAAAATACATAATGTAGGTATTTCCACTATTTGACAATATTATATTCAATTAACTTCAACATTGTTCATTTTCATAAGATTTTTCAAATTTGCCATGAAAAAAAATCCATACTTACCAGCATTGCTGCTAATTTTGTCAAAGTCTTCTTTGATAAACAATCTGAAACAAGGAATTCCAATCGTATTAAGTATAGCTTATGACAAGTTGCTTTACTTTTTAGTGTCCTATATATGAAATAATCTTTAACAAACCCAAACTGTTTAAGTCCATTAAATCTGTATTTTTCTTCAATTTTTGTTTATGACCCTTACACAATTTGCACTCAGTATTTCAACTTCCAGTCACAATGTTTGAAATCACTTTAAATCATGTTTCAGTTGACATTATTGACTACGCACTTACACAGATTCACAAATGATAAACCATATACTCACATACAATATATACTTAATGCATGGCAAACAAATGTATAATACATTAAGTCCTACCTCCTCCATCTCCACAAAAGGTAATCAACCATGGAAAGTCGACCTTCTCCGAGTCTGTCAGTTCTCCCTTGAAATTTCCAGTCCTGAGAACAGTCACTACAGCCTTCACTTGTCTCAAGGCATAATCAACAAAATCTGATGCATCTCGGCCACCATAGTACCGTTCTCTCTATAGGAATGATTTAGAAATAGAATATATCAACTCAAAACAATAAATATTATTTGAAAAATGAACTATTAATACCTTATTATTTAAAAGAAACTAATTAGTTGCAATCAAGAGGTTCTGCAAATAAACAGAAATAGACACCAGATGTACTTAAATCTTAATGCCATTTTTTTCAGTTCAACTCAAAACATAACCATAGGGAATACTTCCCTTCTAAATCAGTTTTATAATGACTGACTTGACTTACACTAGGGTACAATATCAGAGATGGATAAGACCTTATTCCTTGTTGTCTACACAACATAATTTCATCACCACAGTTGACAGCTCCAACTCTAATGACTCCCTCCAACTCTTTGGCTACGTCTCTCCACTGGAATACAGAAATGTTTCTTGTATCTTCATTTTTGTCAGATTGTTACATCTTTTTTTCTTTCATAAACATTCATTATATCATTTCAGAACATTTAGATACAAACAAATATAAATAAGAATAAAATAAAAATTCATTTAGGAACAGGCAACTTGACAAGCCTTTACAATTTGGTATCATTACAAAACTTTCTATATAATTTTACTGCTTGCAAATCATTTTTAAATGTTCAGTGTGAATGCAAGTATCAAGAAAACCACATTTCCTTAACTTCTAGTTCAACACTGTATCTTAACTTATAATACAGACATAACAAATGTTGAACTTACTGTTGGTGCCAGATCATGACAGTGTGAACAATGTGGGGAGTAATAATTGATGAACCACACATCTCCAGCACTATCCACTGCTTGATCTATAACAAATATTATAAATTCATATATGTATTTATACTGCAGCCTTTTAAACTTGCACTATGTCTAATTGTTTTTAAGTCTTACATGTTAAAACATTTCCTGAGATAAATGTACAAAATCATAGTTTTGTTTTTGAATTTTTTATCTTCTAATAAATGAATATAAATACACTCTATCTATTCTGCATACTAGTATATATCTTTCACAAATGGTATTCAGGGTTGTATACAATCTTACCAAAGTCAGCCTTGCTTAGAGTGACAATTTCTGGGTCATCATCGTATATCCCTGAAAAAAAAAAAACATCTTAAAAGACTTCAATGATAAAAAACACTTGTATACCTTTTTCACTCTGTTCTAATCAGGTAAGTTATTAGTTCACCAAGTAAATTGATTGCTCATTACACAATCTAAGTTATTGCATATCTCCATACAAACTTTTATGGGTAGGTGAATTTGGAATCCACAGTTTTTTCCTAACTTTATCAGCTATATCAATATCTTTCTGTTACATTGCCAAATATGGAATATGTGAGACATGACAAGGGCAAATCTCCAGATAAAGCCTTTATATTCTCGTGCAGATTCCCACAAGACAGACCACATGGGAATAATTTGCTCGAAATCTAGTGTATTTATAAGATAGCTTTCATGAATTTTTCATGAAACATGAGAATAGAAAGTGATCTTAATATTAAAANACGACAGACGCAGATGATGGCTATATGTACAGACACATCTGTGTCTGTACATAAAAAAAGGAAAATGGAATTCCTTTAAAAACAACTTGACAAGCCTTTACAATTTTGTGTCATTCTAAACCTTTCTATACTGCCTGCACATCATTTTATATGTGCAGTGTGAATGCAAGTATCAGGAGATACACATTTCCTTTATAACTTCTAGCGTTTTGTTTTATAACTTCTAGTACAACACTGTATCTAAACTTATAATACAGACATAATAAATGTTGAACTCACTGTTGGTGCCAGATCATGACAGTGTGAACAATGTGGGGAGTAATAATTGATGAACCACACATCTCCAGCACTATCCACTGCTTGATCTATAACAAATATTATAAATTCACATATGTATTTATACTGCAGCCTTTTAAACTTGCACTATGTCTAATTGTTTTAAGTCTTACATGTTAAAACATTTCCTGAGATAAATGTACAAAATCATAGTTTTGTTTTTTAATTTTTTATCTTCTAATAAATGAATATAAATACACTCTATCTATTCTGCATACTAGTATATATCTTTCACAAATGGTATTCAGAGTTGTATACAATCTTACCAAAGTCAGCCTTGCTTAGAGTGACAATTTCTGGGTCATCATCGTATATCCCTGAAAAAAAAAATAACATCTTAAAAGACTTCAATGATAAAAAACACTTGTATACCTGTTTCACTCTGTTCTAATCAGGTAAGTTATTAGTTCACCAATTAAATTTAATACTCGTTACACAATCTAAGTTATCTCCATACAAACATTTATGGGTAGGTGAATTTGGAATCCACAGTTTTTTCCTAACTTTATCAGCTATATCAATATCTTTCTGTTACATTGCCAAATATGGAATATGTGAGACATGACAAGGACAAATCTCCAGATAAAGCCTTTATATTCTCATGCAGATTCCCACAAGACAGACCACATGGGAATAATTTGCTCGAAATCTAGTGTATTTATAAGATAGCCTTCATGCATTTTTCATGAAACATGAGATTAGAAAGTGATCTTAATATAAAAATATCATGACACAGCCATGTTCATAGTTTATTTTTTAATTTTACTAAATGAGCAATGTTGAAACAAAGAGAAAAGGTACTGTTATTATATCACAATCGTGAGAAATGTGGGAATAACTATAATGAAGTAATTTATGAGATTATATCAGCACTAATGGAAACTTTATCATTTGATAATCAAGAGATATAAAGTAGTCTTTGTCATGCAAGAGGAAATAAAGCCTGGGTTTCAATAATTACAGGGTCCAGTATTATCATAAGGTGAGGAAGTTGTTCCTGTTCATTTTTTTCAGCAGTTGGTCTGTTTCATATATTGTTAGGCAGACAAAAGGGTCCAAAGCAGAGAACAAACAAATATACAAGTTCTAGATAATTGCTGCTTCTGACATCTCAGAATATAAATGGTCAAAATCCAAGGAACGAATTCCTGGCATTTAAATTCAGTACTTCCGTTCTTATTGTAAAAAAATATAGGGAAATAAAAGAAATAATTAATGCATATCTTAATAATATTTTGATGGAAGTTCATCTGTGTAGACTTACGATTATTTTAGATGCTTTAACTTTTCAATTTCTACACTTACTTGAGCTGTACTTAAATAAGTAAGTGAAGAAATTGAAAAGTTTAAGCATCTAAAATATCTAAATGACATTTCAATACATGGGATTCAGACAAACATACCAAAATTTTGTTGGTAAAAGTTCCAACTTTCATAATGTCCACCAAATTTGTTATCTTTTAATCCTTCTTCTCCAAACATGTCATATTTCTTCCTTAGTTCTTCATCTTTCAGAACCTCATATGCACGGTTTATTGTTGTGAATTTATCATGAGCTTTTGGATCATCCTAGAATGTAGAATGTAGTTTTTATGTTAGGAAAACTTTGATTTCTATTACTAAATACTAGAATTGTTTAACACAAAATCTATACTCTAAAATAATCAAAACCCTCTTAAATAAAAAAAATCGATTGCATATAAAAATGCATCATCACTCAATGTCTATGAAGTTTTGAATTTAAGCATAGAAAATTCCCAAATGACACTCATTACTTCTTAACCTTATCTATTTGTTTTAAGTAACATATATACAAAGACAAAAAAAAAAAAATCTTACCTTATTCTTATCCGGATGCATGCTAAGTGCTTTCTTTTTAAAAGCTTTACGTATTTCTCTGGCATCAGCATCTCGAGACACACCAAGCAGTTCATAATAATCTTCAGCTGAATTAACCGTACTTATAACAAGCAAAAGTAATATAACACACATCCAGACAATTCTAGGTAAGCCAGTCCTAGCCTGTTGTAACCTGGAGCTCATTATGGACTGGCTGATTCCCTCTTTTCTCTCCTAAAACGGATATTGAGAAACAAAAAATTGGCCAAATGCAGAAAGTCTCTGCCTCACAATTTATAAATCTTTAAATCCATATTTATATGTATATAACTACTGGTATCCATGTATTATAGATTATGTAATCATATGTAACTTTTAAGACAGAAAGCTGGGACAAGGTTATATTTGGCAATGGGGCCGTAGCGATAGTCCGAAGGTTCAATAGTCCGAAGGTTCATTGGTCCGAATGTTCACTATAGAACCTTCGGACCAATGAACCCTTGATTAAAAAATCGATGAAAATGTTACCACTTTTCGGACCAATGAACCTTTGGACCAATGAACCTTCGGACTATCGAGACGCCCCCTTTGGCAATTACATAAAATTTGCTAACTAGCACATAACGGGTTACACTAGACTTTTTTGGTATTATAATACTATAATAACTAATTCTAAATCTTTTAATGTTATAACTACTTGAGTGTATATATTTGTATAGTGAAAAAATGAATGAAAGAATTTTGATATAGATCTAACAAACAGTCCATACATTCATGAATTTATATTACTGCGGTGTTATAAGTACGGAGCAGAGTACGGTCTTTCAGTACTATACCGTACTGTACTGTGTTGTAGCTAATGGCAATGACTGAGGCAAACAGCAAAGACCACAATAACATAAGTTTAAACGGTATAATTAAAGATCGTAAATGCTTACTTGTAAAAAACATACAAACTACACAAAGTTTATTAGGAGAAAACCTTGCACAGTACCTTAATCGATATCACTCATTCATTGATGAAGCTTGAAATAACTTTTGAAACTCTCACTTTCACCGACAGACCGGAAGTTGTAGCAACACGTGTCCTACTCATGCTCTACGACATTCTTTCGAGCTTATAAATTATATTCATTTTCACTTTTTAGAAAAACAAAATTGACATTTCAGAATTTTTGTCTTTATTCCTTCCAATATTCAATCTTGACAATCTCACTGTAGAAATAAAAAAGCTTCAAGGTGGTATTTGATTGTTGCAAAAGTGATCGCTAATAATGATCAAGTACCCACTGACGTGTTTCATATTTTGATTTAGTTTTAACATGTGGCATTTTCATAGAAACATTTTGTTGTATTTGTGCTTTTATGTATTGCATTTTACGACACAGAATGAACAGTGTGATGGAGATTCATGTTCATCAGACGTTACGACTGACAAAAATGATGGCGGTTGGTAAGATACACTTAAACATTTGTTATGACTGCAGACACCAAACCATTCGTCTGCATCAATATTTGAAATACTGAGTAGTCGGTTTAGATTTTAATATTGTGCTGTGTAAATCATTCCCATGTCGATTTTTAGTTTGGGCAATGCTTATAGTTGGAAATAGGATAGGGTGATTTTCTTTTTGTATGCCTAAAGACACTCATTGGTCTCCATTTGAAACCGGCCGGCGAACGTGAGAATTTACACGGACTACGCGTACCACCACAGACAATGACATTGGCCGAGTCTGAGATGGCAATACTGTTTTATGTGTGACCTTTAATTTTGATCTCATGAAAAAATAACGCTTTATTTGGGTCTACAACAAGAAAAAAGCTAAGAAAATTATTAAAGCATTTACACATAGCAAGTTCATCAGTGATATTATTTGCATTATTTTAGGTACACAGATTTTAGGGAGCAGGTTGCCAAGCCTGGACCTTGCAATGTTGAAAGAGTTGAAGCTGCAACTTTGACACAAGAAGATTTTATTAAAAAGTAACTTGTATTCAATTTCATTTGAAATAAATTTTTTTTTTTTTTTTGTAAATTAGTGAAAATATACCTTGAAATACATTATTCAGCAATTGTGTAGCAATTGTTTTATACTGAAAAGAAAAATAAAATACTTATATGAAAAAATAATTATGATCGATATTACAGGAAAAAATACTTGATTGTAGTTAAAATGATGATTTTATGTGTATTTTTCATTATTTCCATCCTTAGATATGCTTACACTGCCCCCGTGGTTATATCTGGAATTAAATATAATGAGGTAATCTTCATCAGTTGCCATGATTTATTAATTTTTGACTCTGTTATAAATAAATGAATCACTAGAAGCATATTTCCATCTGTGACTTAGATTTTTTCAATTTAATCATTTTTTGCTTTTTTTGCAACACGTACACTTATTTATAGAGATACATGTGATATGGTGGAACTATTTGTTTTACTCTACACTGTCAGAAGTCTTATTTTCATTTACTGGTACACTAGTGTGTGTTTACCTAGAGTTGTTTACCATGCTCAGGAATGTCTTTATGATTTCAGGAATTTAGAAAAATGTGCAGTAAGCAAAATATGTTGAGAGAATTTGGCAGCAAAACTATACGTCTTAGCTCTGCCAATACTTATTCCTATAAAAAAGGTAAGTCTTTACAACTTTTTGTTTCTACTCAAAATGAAGTTCATGTCAGCTTTGTATCACTGTGAGATGTGGAAATTACTTTTCAATGGGAAAAATCATGAATTTTACAGGTACTGTATTTATAAAGTCATAAATTCTTCAAATTAAAACATGCAATTGAAAGGTAGTAACAAAACTGAAAAGCAGGCTACCTCAAAGTTTCATTCTATACAATAAAAGCACCACAAATGCAACACAAACATATATTTTTGATGCTTCCAAAATAAATATATCTGAAACATTTAAATGTTAAAATATCTATTCCCCATTGAAAAGATCATCTCTGTATTTGAGTGAAATCTTTGATAAGACAAAAAAAAAAAAAACACAACCCTCCTTCTTTATATTTCAGTTGATGTCACACTACGGGAATACGTAGAAAATATATTAAAGCCACAAAGCTTGTACACATTAGGAAATGGTAAGTAACTTTTCCTAAACATAGGCATGTTGTGAATTATTTCAGTAGCATTTTTTTCTATTCTGGTTGGTGCAACATATTCCTTGTATGTCATACTGGTATGATGCATGGGGACACATTTTATTTCTCAATTTCCACAGATCTTCTTACTTATTTTTCTCTTAGAGACACTATACTGGTTTGGTGATAACAACTACACAGAGTGGAGTGATCTGTTTGAGCAGTATAACCAGCCACAGTGGAAACTACCAAAGACTGAAGGAGTGCTCAGCTTTGGGCTAGCAGGTAAGGTGTCCACTGAAATACAGGAAGTCTAGGGCATATAGTGACAGCAACATCTACTGGGTAACCTATGTTCCCCATGGATGGACAGCAATATTCCTCTTATCTTAGATGCTAGATTTATAAAACCTGACAAGGTGAAATAAAATTTTACTTTGATTTGAAACTACCAGTATAATAGCTTCTTTGAAAAGCACCCAAGGAATCCTTACACAGAACCTTTTATGAGTGATATTTTAAATAAGATCTTTTGTCTTACAGCAATTTTACTTCATATTGCTTATATTTGGCATTATATTTCAACATTTTTTTTTTTTTTTCAATTTTCTGGAAAGGTGCCGGTACAGGTGTACCTTTCCATTTTCATGGGCCAGGGTTTGGAGAAGTCATTTATGGGAGAAAGGTAAGGTATTACACCATTACAAATGTGTATCAGTTAGGGGAAACATCTATTAGTTTTATCAATTCCGTGTGTAAGATTTGAGAAGGCATTATAAATTGGTTTATTCAGGCTTTTTTTTTTTTTTTTTTTGTCAGAAACTTTATTTCTGAAGCATCAGTTTCAATAAGTTCTGCAATACACTTATGGTTGGACCATTTTGGTTTTAGCGAGTTCACCTGATTGTTTTTCTAGCAAGCATTTCATTAAAATTTCAACAAACATATCAGTTTTATCCTAGCAATAAAACTACCTGTTTTATCGTGGAAGTATATTTGATAAAATTCCCTGGTTTTATCCCTGGTGATAAATCTACGGGGGTTTTTTTTCAGCGCTGGTTTCTAACTCCTCCTGAGCAAAAGCCATCATTTGACCCAGACCAGACCACTCTTCACTGGTTAGTGAACAATTACCCACATCTAAGTGAAAATGAAAAACCTCTTGAGTGCACAATTGGACCAGGAGATGTAAGTAATTTTTTTCAGTCTCATACAGGGCTTTTCCCAGGACTTTGGGTACAGGTTATCCAAAATTATCGCCTGTAATTTCTTACAAAATTGCAGGGAGTCCAAGCCATCATTTTTTCAAAAAGATTCATAAGCCGTACAGCTGTCTTTGAAAATGTTGGCCGTCTGGTGATGCCAGTTGATTGCTGAAAAAAGCCTTGGTCTCATTTTATGTTAGTTGAAACTTTTAATTATTTAGTTTATGGATTTGTTTGGTTGATGAAACATCAGTATTACCTCTCATTTTGCTCTGGTGTATGTACATTGTGAAAAAGAAGACTAAAGTACCTGCATAAATTCTTGAAACACTTTTCATTCTCAGACTGAAAGAAACGAAGCAAATAAGTAACACAAAATTATAATTTCTTGGCTATAATATTACAATAGTTAATTCAAATACATGTACATATATGAATATGGATATTTTTGTTTTTTCTATAATATGACAGTGTGAAGTTATATTTTTATTGTGATTTTAAAATACTATTTTCATGCTGACTTCAGGCATAAACAATTTATTACATTTTCTATTTTTTTTCTTTCCAGCTCATATACTTTCCAGACAGGTGGTGGCATGGCACATTAAATATTGATACCAGTGTTTTTATTTCTACATTTCTTGGGCCAATGTAGTTAACTTGAAATACCTAACATTCTCTCCAAGTAAGAACATTATTGAAAACATCGTATGGCTGATAATCAGCTATGGCTCAATTTCAAGGGTGCCAAGCCTGCTGTAACAAGAGAAATAAAATTTTCTGACAAGGAATAACTCTTTTTAGCAAAGTAAATCAATATTCCAAGAATATTTTTAACTATAAATTGTTACATAAATAAATACCTTGCAATGGTTTTGCTTCTGTCAGTATTCACATGTCATGTTTTGCTTCTGTCAACGTTCACATGTCATGTTTATCATTTTATTTGTGAATGTTAGTTATAAACTTTTGGTATTAATTTATTTTTACCATAGTGCAACTTTTAAAAGGAAAGCCTTTTTATTAAAAATATTTTATTGGACTTTTGCATTTATTGTGATTGTGAAAAAATAAACCTTACGTATATACTTTTGTTACTCCTCATTCTATGAATAAATGATTTAATCCATGTTTTGCCTCTTAGGCCAACTGTTTATTCCTTTACACAAAAGGAGTTGCTTGAGGTCGTTCATCAATTTTTTGGTGAAGACAGTTGAATCATCTTTTTACAGAAGTTTGAGATACAGTAATAATTTCCGTCCCGCTCCCATCTGTCTTGCCTCACTTTGTTGCACCAGTCTCTCCACTGTGTTGGTGTTTGTAGAGATGCCATGTCGTCATACTGCTGACACCTGAATGAGTCATTGAAATGTGAAAATTGTGCTTATATTAAACTTTTCAGTTCTGATGAAAAACATGTACAAACAGTCTGATGTCAATGAAAATTATCATGGGGATTATGACTCTTATAAGATACTTGTGAGCCTTTTTTTTTAGCTATTTGCTCGTGATTCTTACACGCAAGGAATTCTATGCACAATCAGGTGTGCGAGGTGACACATTTTTGTAATTTACCAAACAATCACAAAGGCTTTTGTGCAATTTAGGAACTTATTTGTGACCAGTGTCATCTAAAGTAATTGAAAATAACATTTCGAATGTATGACATCCGGTGTATTAGTGCGTGCTGCATTTAAATATTACCTTGAATTGCATGTGAAAGTCCCAATGTTTCCCTTTACTGCTTCACAGGAACATATTTCTGAACAATTCTTTGCCCACCACATATTGCCAATATCCGATTCAGTTAAACATTTCCCTTGATAATCTGGAATAGGGAATAACAAAAAGAAACAAGAAAATTGAAGATCAATTTTAAAAATGAATTTTTGATTGTAGTTTCCAATAATGTATTAAATGGTTGAAATATATTATGAAGTGAACGCCGATGTCTACTTAATCAACTCCTACAATTATTATATATTTCACCTTTCCTGAAGACGTAATGTGTTTAAATGAAAAATAAGGTTTTTGCAATTAAATACTAGGGACTTCAACAATTTATTTAGCATTTCTTCATCGATATCAAATCCAGAAACAATTTATTAACGTGCATCTCCCAAAAATCCGTTTGAATGAAAAATATGGGATTTAAAAGAATACTGAATGGAAGTTGTGATTTTATTGTTTGAAGAAAGTTTCTGGGCACTCAATGACAATAGTCTGACTGAAATTCCAATATTTTGGTCTTTAAGGCAATCAAAAAATTCTGCAGGCAGACTTTGCAGAATTTCTAAAGATAAGATGCGATAAGCGTCGAAGAGGTTGCATCTTACATGTAGTGTGCATGGGGCTTTTCTGTTGTCTTAAAAGCTAAATCCTCTTTTTTCCTTGCAAATGCCTTGCACTTACCACGACACCCCTTTGACATGATGAATACTCCTGCTAAACAAATTGAATTTTGTACGTGTACGTACAGGGTAAAAGTAATTCGGGGCAGGGGGAGGGGGGCATGCAACTGTTCACTTGCCTTATTTCACCAAAAAAGAAGGTTGTCAACTTGTCAAGTATAATGATATTTTTGAGGTATTTCTGTATTTGAAATTTGATCGGGTGATGGAGGGTAAGTGACATGAAATGTTGAAGAGCCAAGGAAAAGTCGCTTAATCACGTTAATTTATAATTCACTGTAAAATCCAGTATACTGTC